TATATATATATATATATACATCATCATTGTATCCCTTATCAGAACAAAAACTAAAGTGGGTCATGAGAAGTAAACTTTCATAAAGCAATATGGAGGCAAGTCATTATAATGTCCATTAATACTTTCACCATGATGAATCCAATTGAGATACATGTGTGTGTGGGGGGGGCATGGTCTTGAGGGCTACATTTTTTTCTATAATACATTAATGTGTGATAAACCCTACTTTTTGGGGATGTATTTCCGATTCCAGACTTCTTTCATAAAATTTCTTTTTGAACATGCTATTGAATTTGGGGAAAAAGGTATTTGCCAAAGTTCAGCCTCAATGTTGAGTGATGCTTTTATACATATATATAGATAGATAGAGAGATGGATTCTCCTGTCATGAACAATGAATGAGGGTGCAGAAAATTCTAAGTATTCACTGAACAATTTGCACAAGTGAATTGTTTGAAGTGGTTTATTACCTGTGCCCTGCAATACACACACACTCCATTATTATACAATGTCTTATACTGGTCCACTGTGTGCTTCATCTCAGATGATGCTACAATTGCAAGCTTTTAGAACAGGAGTTTTCCATCTCACTTGCATGTTGGTTATCAGCTCCTATAAGAAGCTCATTTGCCCATTACCAACCTTTTCCAGGCTGGTTTGAATTCAGAGCTTTCATTTTCCTAGACTGATTGCCAACCAAGGCTATAAAGCCCAGTCTGTCCTGCTATTTACCAATAGCTGGGAAAAGAAAAGATGAATTCATAATTTTCCCCAATGGTAATTGGGGGAAAAGTGATTGTAATGAACCTGACTAGAATTCAAACTGCTCTCCAATTTCTCATTCTGAGTCATCATCCAAGCTCACACTACCTACTATTCCCAAGGAATCACCCATCTATTGACCAAGCTCGATGTTACTTAAATGTCTGGTTTGGGTCATTTCTGTAGAAACCAAATGCAATAAAACTTTAGTTCAACGTACATCACCCACCATTACAAGGAAGCTGTTATGCTGCATGAGCCAATTCAATAGTTTATATCTGTCTACTGAAATTGAATTTGTAGATATAGTTACAAATATATTTGGCTGGCAAATCTGTCTGGAAAGATTTAAGTATGTAAATTTCAAGAGAAAGAAAAGTATTTGAAGAGTTAATTCAAAATTAGAAATATTAAAACATTCCTGTATTAAACAATATTTACATTGTGTCAATGTTTTTATAAATTTCTATTTTACTAATACAGAAATTTTTCCAAATTAATATTCCTTTTAGTTTATTTGTACAAGTTATTTTGCAGACATTCAATCCGCCTACCAAGATTTGAAGTTTTGTTATGCATATGTGCAATTGTAAAAAATAAATAACATTACCTGTCGGGAAAGCATGGACCCATCGGCGTCTATTTGAAGTCATCTTGAAACGCATTCTTGATGGAGCAAATGGATTGATGAGAGCTTTTCGAGGTTTGTGATGGTAATTACGTGAATGACCAACAGGTGATCCAGCACTGCCCACTATCGGTCGATATAAAATGCTATCATCACTATCAGCAGAGCCAACGACATCATGGCTGTTGGAACGATCTAGCAAAGGAGAAGGAAAAAATATACAACAAAAATTAGCTAATATTAAGTCTACTGAACAAGCTTCATCTTACTGTAACAATAGACCTAAGTAATGAGAATATGTTTCAAATATTTTTGTTTGCATATATTTTTTTCCTTACCCAAGAAAGCAGAATTCTTTCTGATATGCAACAATAATTGTTTTGATAAAAATGTAACCAATGCAATTGCTTATTTATAGAAAATAATTCTTCCATACTATAAAGCTCAATTTAGAGCAAATTTTCTATTTTGTTTTTTTATCATTTCACCCCAAGCAAAGAAATAAAGCCACTAAGATGCAAGTGGCTACTGAGTGTGAAAGAAACTAAGACAGGAGATATCACATGATACCAATAAGTGAACCACTAAACACAAAATTAATTTCTCATTAAGTTTTATATATAATTGTCATGTAATTACCTGTCTTGCTTGGTAAGGAAGTGCAGATGTCTGACCTGGAAATCAATCATAATATCATTTCATGTGGTGAAAAAACATCCACATGATTCTCCAAAGCAACATCACCAAATATAATTTAGTTCATATATTACATGAATCATTGATATCTTTCAAATGCTACTAGCCTTTTTTTGCATGTAGATGATGCTATTATAAATGAAAATTATAAACAAGACAAAAGTAGTATTAAGAACATTATAAAAAAATGCACAACACCAGTTGACAATAGCAAAAAAAAAATTATTTATTACAAAAAACCTTATAGTGAAAAATAATAATTCACCTCTTAGAACAAAATTAAATAGGACAAATATTATTTACGAATTTAAATGTCCATTAAGGAATTGTACTCTTGATCAACCAAAATTCGTAAATAATTATATAGACCATACTACATGTTTGACACAAAAACTCACACTACACCTTTCTGACCGTAGCTCAATTAGATCTCATTTAAATATTCATGGAGACCTACAGGACCCTATTCGTAAAATACTTGTCAACAACATAACTATAATAGCATCATCTACATGCAAAAAAAAAAAAAAAAAAAAAAGGCTAAAAATAATGGAAGCCTTACTAATAAAAACAAAAAAAAAACACTCAGTAATATCAACTATTAACACAGACACAATATCTTGACAGTATTTTGAAAATGAAAACATTATATAAATCATACATACATACAAAAAACTATTTCTTGTTAACAGTTAATATATTTTAAGCTTGAAAATGGCTAAATGTATAGCCGAAAGCACTTGGAAAAAAAGAACAATTGGACAGTTTTTATATAATTTATCATCTGAAAAGAAAAACATTATTAGATCACATAATTGTATAAAAAACTAAATCAAAGCCCCTTGTGTGAAATGTGCATGAAAGAAGAATTTCTGCCTAAATACGCAAATATAAATATATATATATATATATATATATATATATAAATAAATACAACATAATTAAAAAGGTTTATTTTGAAATCAGACCAGTGAAAGGAAGAAACACTCAAATTCACACAGAGTCACTATATAACCTTGCAATTTGCTTCTCTCATTATAAACTTATCTATTCAGTTTTATTTTACTTCTATTGAAACTGAACTGAAAACTCATTTTCAGTCTTAAAGATTCATTAGCACAAATCAGTCAATCTTCAAATCTGAGTATTTCAAATGTCATTACTATTATCTTCTGTTTAAAATTACTTTTTGTTTTATTGTAAACAAACAAGGTCATCACCTTTTCACCAACTGGACACACAAAAACGTACATTGTTCTTTTTCTCATTTGTGTCACTGTGCACAAAAACTGGGAAAGGTCTGCCATATGTTCACAAGGGGAACAAAAGATTAAATTAATGCCATGGCAAGAAACTGACTCCTGCTACCCATGCCCATCTCTACTTCACAATGCATGACTGGCAACTAAAAGGCTGCATTGAAACTACCGCATCAGTTTATTCCTATCAACAGGCAGTCCAGAACTTACTTCAATCTCAACTGTAACTTTTTACATAAGCCTGTGAATGGATAGTCACAACATCTAGTTTAGTGCAACCTGATCTCAAAGGTTTATTTCTTTTTGATTCAGTGGATAGTACTTTGAAGATCTCATTTTGCAGATATTATTGCTTGTCATTATAAAAAAAAAAGCAAAAGAAAAAAAAAAAACACTTTAAGACAGATAAAAACATTCATCATCCTTTTCTCTGTGGCCAAACCAATCAAAGCATTAATGTTACATTATGAAAGTAGAATAAAAATTCTAGAATTGTTTCAAGCTGTTCTAAGTTGATTTTAAGACATTTGTTAATTTTTTTTCCCTTTGCAAATCCCATTCAATTTTTTACTTTAGCTTCATAAAATTATTCATCTATTACCTGTAGATGAAAATTCACTGGCTTGGTCACATCAAGATCACCAACTTCACAGATCTAGAGACATTTCTTCACCTTCTAGAAATGGATTCATTATTTAACTGTTCCAATTTTTGTTTCTCCCATTTGGTTTACCAGCCAAGCTAATAAATTTGATCAGGAATTTAATTGATTCTAACTGACAATATGACCTGATTTTATAATAAATTTTAATTGGCTCATTATTACAATCTTTGGAGGTTTCAAATGCAGAAAATGAACCAAATAGCAAGTCTAAGTTTCACTAACAACATTCTTTGCACAAAACTCGCAAAGCACTCATATTCTTTCCAGTCTGTTTTAAGTTTGTGCAAACCACAGCAAATACAAGCAAATACGATCATAAACTGTCTGTTATAACTCATTCCTAGCTGTTATATTATGTTTTGCTTAGGCTACTCACCATGATATGATTAGAATTTTCTCCAAATGACTCCAAATGAACTAGTCAAGATGTCTTAAATAAAAAACTCATTCTTTATTTAAGGTGTCTTGCCTAGTTCATTTGTCTTATCTGGGGTGTCATTTACTTCACAACAAGTTACAACAAAATTTTCAGCATGAACTTTACACTAACACAAATCATACCGTGAGCATACTTGCCACTCTAGAAGTCACATGCGAACTGAGGAACTCAGTCTTGTATGCTCATTTTAGCATAGCAAAATTTATTTCCATAGAATACAGATGGATGCTGCCAAATACAAAAATTATTTTTGGTAAAATAAATACATTTTAAAAAGCTATTTTCAAGCTGAAAACTTTCAAGAAAAAAACACACACACAAAAAAAAACATGCAAATGTCACCAATTGTTTTTTTTTTTTTAAATGAAATTAACAAAAACACTGCAAAATCACCTCAAGTACTATATTTAGTACTAATTTCATAAGAGAATATTAAAAAAAAAATGTTCAGCAAACTGAAAAGAATGCGGGGCTGTTTATTTGTATCTGAATTGATATGCAGTGGACCAGCTAGTGATGGTATAAGAAAGAAAAGTTTGGGTTTATTTAGTTTAACGGTATATCAACCTGAAAGGGTTATTTAATGCCAACAAAAATTTTTGGATAGGTTCATGTAAATAGAGAATCTATTCTTTGTAAGGAATCAAATTTGCAGATCAGGTTTCATTGACATATTTTGTAAAGGGGGATTTTGTCAAGAGTCAAATGTATTGGTGGTAATAATTTTTCCTTCAATAATGGATTGCTGGAAATAATTTTTCCTTCAAAAATTGGTTACAAAATAAGTAGATTTGGTAAACAGTTTTTTTTTTTGTTTTTTTTTTTATATTTTCCTGTAGTGGTAGGTTTCTTTAATGAAATTTATGATGTTACTTGGATCAGTACTTTTAAATAGATCCTTTAAGTTATCCGATTTGTATAGTTTCTTTCTGGTTTGCTGGAAGTTACAGCAATTTAGTAGAATGTGTTTAACAGAATATGGTTCCTGGCATGGGACCCATTGGCGGTTTCTCATGTTTTAGTAAATATTGATAGGTTATGTATGGGTCTCCTATACAGAGTCTGGCTAGGATCACCTCTTCTTATTCTGTAACTTGACTGTCTTTCACTAGAAATTGGTTGGATGTTAAGAAGTTTGTTTACACAGTTGTTCTATAATTGCTGCCATTTTTCTTTAAATGGTCCTGTTTATGGTGGGTCAGTGTGTGGAACCTTTACATTTGAGAGGGCCATGTTCAGCAATTACTTTGCCATTTCCTTGTATGCCAATATGGCTCTATTCCAGGATAGGACTATTACAGCATCATTTTTTTTTCCTTATAGAGTTAAAAGCCCTATTTATTTTAAATTTATTTTATTTTATTATTTAGGAGATTTTTTTCCAGATGTTAAATCTTTAGAAACTGTTTGCTTTTTTTTTTGGCATTTTTTGGGCAAATAAAAAGGTTTTTTCACAGGGTGACTCTTCATTTTGCAATCAGATTTTGAATTACAAATAGAAGATTGATAACTCAACAAAATTAAAATTTCTGACATTTTAAAATCTACAGAATTTCAAATGTAATTAACCTTGGCTATTGTGTATCCTATCTTTTATTTCTTTTTGGTAAAGTAGGTTCATTGAAAAATGTGTTTGTGTTCATTGATGTATCATTTCTTTTTACTTATATTCTTTTGATATAATTTTTATACCATGCTTTTTTTAGGGTGTCAAAATTTTAATTTTTATGATTAAAAGAGTGAAAGTTCTTTTCATTTTAAAAATTCCTTAGATGAATTAAGAAATTAAAGAACTTTAGCATTTACTTCTATGTTTTTTATTTGTTAAATTTTTAGTAAATTTTCTGAATTTTTTCATTTTTACTTGAAAAGAAATTGTTTTTTTTTTTACAGATTTTCTATTATAATATGACATGGTTAATTTAAACCATTTGCAACATAAAAGGAAAACATTTGTTATTTCACCCTCAATGATTCTG